ATAGAAACTGAAATCCCTTTTACAAGAAAGGAACTTTCAGCTGTCACTGTGTGAACAAACGCACTGTGATTCTTTTCGCAGATGTTTTGTTTTCTCAGTTGTCATCGTCTTCTCAAGGTAAGGCTGTTGTTGTACCACAGAGTGAACAAATAATTATTATTGTGATATGAAGGTTTCCGAGGTGGCCGAGTTTCCTTAAAATTGTGTCTACATTTCGAAACAGAAAACTTTGCGAAATCGACTAAGAAACCTGCTACATATTTTGCCAGTTCGTGTTGGAGACTAACACCGGAGCATTCTTCATAGCTCTTCGATCAATAATCAGTTAAATAGCTATCTAATTTACATCAACAGGCTGATAGAACTAAGTACAGCTAGTTTTCCTTTTCACATTTCACCAAGTGAAGTGCATCAATCTTACTGAAAACTTTTTTCTCAAATAAAAAGCACACATGTGAATAATTAATATGTGTCTGACCTTGAAAATTCTCAGTAAATACCATGCAGAAAAGAACTCAGAATTTTAAACTTTCTGCAATTCACGGCTAGAGCAAAAAGAAGGGTTGTTGGAATTTATCACAACTATCAATATCTTACTTAATGTGTGATCGACCGAATATATTTAGGGAAACTTTTGCAATTCTCAGATCGCAGCAAGCTGCTTAATATTTGTACGAGATGATTGGCGTCCTGCAGGGTTTTACAGATTGAAGGATATTTTCTAAGTGCGTTTTCTTTTAGAGTTGAACGTAAATTGCTATGGAAACTGAGTTACCCGAAAGGAGTTTCTCCAGAAACTGATTTACCCTAAATATTTAACATGTGGGGACGATTTCAACCGTAGAGCGTTTTCTTCTAAGTTGAAAACTTACTTTTTCATTTCTCTGTTGAAAAAAGTATGCTCAAGACTAATAAATTACTGCCATTACAGTGAATACGATTTTATGGTACCAATTGCCCTTACAAATGTTTTAAAGCATTTCATATCATTTCATCTCAAGTCTTCACATTAAAATTAATTTGAAGAGGATTACAGTTCTGTAGTGCCTTAGGTAAGGAATAACCTTTTTTCTTTTCGATACTTGATTTTGTAAATTGGTGAAATACTTGTGAGTTCTTTTTTTAACGAAAAAGATCGACATGCATCAAGCCGAGGTCCGTGTTTTTAGGATTTCCCGCAATGGGAAGTCACGCAGAGACGATTTAGGTTTGTGATTGAGCTCCATAATTGATTTCAACGAAATAGGATTTTTCCAGATTAATATTTCCGTCGCAATATTTAAAAAAAAAAAAAAAGAGAGAAAAAAATATCAGATAAAAAAGGATATGCGCACACATCTTTGCTTACATTTAACCTCGAGTCAACAAGGAAGCTGACTTCATCGCTGACAGGTCGAAAAGTAATTAAAATGTAAGTGCGTAGTCTTGAATTATTCATTCAGTCAGTATTTGAAAATTGATTGTGTCTCAGCCAGCATCCATCCAAACTGCTTACGTCTGAGACTTTCGTTTACGAGAGGAACAGATCCAAAGGCGAAACAAGTTAACAGGTAAGTTGGACAAAGATCGAGGTGTCTGCGACAGAATATTTAAGTCACCCAACTCACTCATTTCTTTCTTCTTTCTGATTCCTAAATTCTTAATATCAGATCCTTTGAGGCCATACTCAAAACACTATTTTAGTGCAATTTAGCAGTCTTATCTGTCGAACAAAAAGGATCAATGCCTTTCTTTTTATATTAGCTTGCACGATATTTTTTGTATTGAACTTAATTATCTCTGACATGAATATATTCGTGAGATCTGAAGACGTAAAAACGTTATTGAATTAAGTCACTGTCAAGGTTAAATGTAAAATATGTTTTGATACGTGAGGTAAACTTTTAATCATTGTGCTCCAAGCAAATTTGATTATGATATCTTAGATACTTAATAATTTTGTGTCAAGGAAGCAATGAAATTCTTAATTATATCAACAGACTTTTAATTGGTATCTGTCAATCATAGTTTTGATTGTTAAGGCCTACACCAAGTTGATTTACCACAGTCGTTTGCTGCATTTTCAGAGCCATGGCTACCAATTTTTTTTCACCTAAATTGGCTCCCCGTCATTAAAAAGGATTGAATTCAGTAAGATTCGAACTTTAACCCATAAAGCACTGAACGGAATAGCTCCGCTCCGCACCTATGTGCTACCGCAAGTTCATCATCTCACCCTTAGTCTTTGCTTTGGATTTATCATTGGAAGTAGTGGACCATTAGACCCAGGCATACGGTGCCCGGTTTTTCTCTGTAGCTGCACCAAGTCTCTGGAATTCCTTACCGGTAAATATCAAAAAGGCGTAAACTTTGTTCTCCTTTAAAAATTTGCTCCAAACATTTTCATTTAATCAATTTTAAATTAGTTCGTATAAGATTATTCTAATTCCTTTGGCATGTTTCTTTTATTTCTTACATCCGTAAAGCAGCTTTAGATCCCTAACCCTAAGCAGCGCTTTTGAAGAATTTTACTGCTATCATCGCTATGATTAATTGTCGATTTGCACAAGCTTTCGGACTGAAATAAACCATCACTTGTCCTCCATGTGTATTTTAAAAGGAAAATTGTTTAACTTAACGAGCGAAAGTGTCAACGAAGAATCGAATGATTACCGGAGCTGATGCCGTATTCGTTTTTCCAGAAAGAATCTGCCTAGGCAGGTGTTGGTATTGGAATTAGTTTTCATGAAAACACATCAGTAAACTGTCATGTATATGCTGAGATGTTTGATGGTGATGGAGAATAGATAATTTTTCTATCAATGTATACTTGTTGGATCAGGTACATTGTTTTGGAAAATCATCTATTTACTGGTCTAATCTAAATATGAACAGGCCTAAACATACATGTTGAAGTATTTTCTTTGGAAAAACTTAGTTGCACAAGAATTCAATTACGAATTGAAAGCGATAACGGAAAAAGAAATTCCTTCGACCTTCGCTTGACAGAGACACTTTACAAACTGTGCAATTATTAGAAATTGTTTTGTTTTCTGAAGCTTTTGTTCTTCTTAATTCTTGCCATTGTATTTGGCGTCCATAGAAGGTAGTAATCACCCAGTTATTTGCATTTTGCTATTACATTCAAGAGAAAAGTAAATCATTATCGAACTGGCCCTCGAAAGGAATATTAATTTGATGAGATTAGCGGAGAAAAAGCATTGAAAGTGACCGATTCAAACCTGATTCTTGAGGTAAGCTGAGAAACATGCATCTTTTCCACATCTAATTCATCAAACGTTCACACAAACGCGAAATCAAATTAATTCAAAGACTCTTTACTTTTTGCTCGACGTATTGTCTAGGGGGGCCTCAAACGATTAAATATTCAGCACCCATAAAGGAAAGAAACGTAAGCAAGAACTGCCTATGGATATACGCATTGTTGATATTGTGTAATTTTTTTTCTTACGGAAAGTAAGCAAAATGTTTCTCATATCTATAGAAGGCAAATAATTTACGGTTGCTGACAGATTAGTTCATCATTCATTGCTCATTGAGCTGCTTTGATGATGAATCCTTTTTTCGCAGCCCTGACTAGAAAAATGCTCGCTTAAGTTCGGTTGACCACAACGATCACAAGCTTTTAGGAAAAGCCTCAGCAAAAATGTTGGATTGGGAACAGCAAATATTTAAGTTTCAAACGAAATAATCAATTAGGGATGGAGCAGGTGTTATACTGGATGCAAATAGAAATAAAAACGTTTGAATCGTTTGAATATAAATTTTAAGTACCTCAATAGAAGAATCAATTCCAGAGTTGTATAATATAAGGATATATAGATATAGATATATACATATATAGATAATTCCTTGGGTGGGTCATAATTATCACTATTACACAAGGTACGTCAACACACAACAGAGACAACGAAAAGTACATCGACCATTCCCATAACCTACAGCTTGGACGGACAGTAAATAGATTTAAACTTTCTCTTTCTTTGTTTTGCATCCAAGCCTGTAATGATCAGCTCACCATTTGGAAATCCCCACCGCTCCTACCCAACCTAAATCCCTTCATGTTTAATTTTTTCAAAATCATGATATCGTGAGTAAGGTCGTCATTGTACAGCGTGGTTAAATGTAACAACAATAAATTATTATCATTAGTTTCGTGATGTACTTCGAGTTCTAATGTGGATATGTATGTTTCCACCGCAAGCGATTGGCTACTTGTCAGCTTATGAAGTATAATATACATTACAATATTTCTCAAAGGATAAAGCGTAAGTAACTAAAGAAAGAAAGACATGATTTTCGTCGGAAGTGACTAAATTGTGAGACAAACTGCAACTTGAAGAGGCTTTGTAAATATAATTCCTATCTTTCAATTCTAAACGATCACTGAAATTTTTAGTTTCTTAATTATCTCCAAGAATTACTCAGTGTCGATATGAAAATTATAAAGTTTTCCTTGAAGAGAATACTAAAATTTAAATTTCAATGTTCTTTATCAGCTTTTATATCAGTTTCATCGACGCATCACTAAATTGTAAAAATGGCTGTGTAGATTTTAATTTTTTAGACAAAAACGGATACCTTGCTACCCTCTTAGTAACTTAGCAATTCATGGTACGATGGGCGAAATTTACCTAAATTCAATTCCATAAACAAGGCTGGGCAAGAAATAGAATTTTCAATTAAAAATTTATGAAAAAAAAAGTAATTTCATTCGAAGATTTAATCTTCGTATGGTTTTAATCGCTGTAAAAGCTAAACAAAAAAACTCATGTTTAGCTCTATGAATGAACAAATCACCCAGTTTTTTAGCAAAATATTTCGAAACTTTAACATGTTTACTACGTCTCCAAGGTGTAAAGTATTGCAATCCACAAGAACTAATTGATTGGAAATTCCTACTCAACGCACATACACCAGCTGTCAACAGCTGACTTGCGGTCGTTTTCTGCGTGCGGTCTATAGAATAAAAACAATAGAAGCCACAAGAACACTTTCCTTTTGCGTTATTTTATAATTCATCTTCGTCTGGGAGATATCGAGCTTTTATAAAGTCATGATGTCTGATAAAAATATGGAATTGCTGGTTACCAGGACATCATTAAATGTAGCCAGGCTCCCGATAGCACTTTGTACAAATATCTTTCATAGATCTAGATGCAGGAAAAACATTGCTAGCGGCTTGGCCCAACACTGCATGCATTGCTTTTTCCAAAACCAAGCTTCGGAGCTCAGTGAAAGGAAAAACAGCGAGGAGTAAAACTGAAGGAGTCGGCTAAAACTGGAGGAGTCACGTAAATAAGGATTTCCATTATTACTCTTGAATCTTACAACGTGAAGTGATATCCCTTAGCAACTAGAGGAAGATCTACCTCCGCGGTTTGTAAGTGTAAGAATTCTTTTACGTTAAAGGTATTTTTATATTCCGAACATCGCAGATTGTAGAAAGAACACTAGGAAATAAATCATTTAAGTGGACATAATTTAGGCGCAATGACAGGTATCTAAAGTCCCTTCTGAAAGAAGACTTTGTCAAACGTTCTGTTATTATTTTCATTTGCAGGCAAAAGCATGGCTTCTTTGGTATTGGTAACAGCATTTGTCCCAATGGCACTTCATGTTATTTCAATTCCAGCCGTAAACATCACGGCAGATGATGGGATGACAATGGATGATTTAGAAAATAATAAAAAGTGTCCAGATGTTATCAAAGTCAAGTGGAATGAGCTCCATGCTAGAGAGCCCCATGTGATTAAACAAGTCAGCGGTAATCGAACTTTCTACGATGGGTTGTTTCCATGTAAGTAAGATAGACTCATTGAGCAAGAGCTAAGTGGGAGGATTTCAAAGGCACTTCACGATTAAGCGCAATGTTTGGGGGAATAACTGCCTGCCTAGGCAGGTGTTGGTATTGGAATTAGTTTTCATGAAAACACATCAGTAAACTGTCATGTATATGCTGAGATGTTTGATGGTGATGGAGAATAGATAATTTTTCTATCAATGTATACTTGTTGGATCAGGTACATTGTTTTGGAAAATCATCTATTTACTGGTCTAATCTAAATATGAACAGGCCTAAACATACATGTTGAAGTATTTTCTTTGGAAAAACTTAGTTGCACAAGAA